AGTTATAAAGCGAATCGCCGGCCACCACGTGACTGTTGTGCAACATGTCTCACCTTGCAGCGTCGTTCAACACTCTGAGGGGACGATAAATTAGCAGTCTGATGGCATCAAACCATCGGGTGCCGTCCTGTCTTACCGTGCCGTCCTGTCTTACCGTGCCGTCCTGTCTTACCGTGCCGTCCTGTCTTACCACACCTTCTGCTTGGTGCAGGCGCAGCCGACGCATAAAACCAACGGTGTGTGAGACGGATGTGGAGGCGGACTGTCTGAGGTGCCGATAGGGGAGGGCACGGCGGGCAATCTCCGCGCCCGGGACGGTACAGTGTGCTTAATTTTTTTTTCTATTTCAGTGGGGTACTTTATGACGGAACTTTGTAATATCTACTGATCTTACACCTACAGGGAGCTTTGGATGACAAAACTTGCATTAAAAACATTCGGAACACTCAAAACCAGCCGTTCAAGCGTCTGTTTAGTTCTTTCAAATGCAACATGAAGCTTATCAATTCACAAAACCATAACTAGACCGAGTTCACAAAGGGTCACATATGTAAGCTTGTACTGATGAATATGCAATATGCATTGTGTCATTAAAGAACAGCGTCGATCGCTACGCCGTCTCCTGCCGTACCATATAGGATTAACAGGGTCAATATCCCAGGACATCCGCGCCCGGACTGGCCAGGACCACTGACCATTGACAAGTTCGGTCCACCCAGGTCAATCAAATGCGCGCACCGAAAGGTACCTACCGGGGCACCCGGTGTTCGCGTTGTGCAACGTGGTGCCGGGCAGCTACCGCCCGCGACACCCGCGGCTATCATAAACATAGCGCCGTAAATATTTATGGCCGCCTGCTGTGGGTGTCGAGAGGTGCCGTAGAATCTGTGACGTCACGGCAATTTATGAGGTCACGGAAACGGATGGGTGGTCTTTAGGGATGTGATTTCTTCAGTTAGAAGCCAAGCTTTGGGGTAAAAATGATGGTTTATGCAGAATGTTTGGCAATGAGGGTTGATGCTAGTGTTAACAGCGTTGAAAAATGCTCTAATAGCTGCCGCAGGTAGTCATTACAAATGCAAGGTCAGTAACGGGACCCGGTTGAAGGCTAGGATGATCTGTCGCCAGTTCAATGACCGTTCGTACAGGAATGAACTATAAACGATACACTGTCGAGCGGCGGGCCGCAGGCGCATGTGATGTGATGCATGGTGCCGTGATGGCGATAGGCTAAACGGCTCATGGACGTTACAAGGTAGTCACGACGACAACGTTTGAGGTTATATTAATTGATGATTTATTCAAAACACAGACCGATAAAAGCTATAGGTACCTATGCAAACCTGCCAGGTGTCTGCAAATCAAAATGATAAAAGCGATATAACACTCGCAAATAGTTGTTTATCTAGGCACAGCTATTTTGCTGTTCATTCAACACAATTTAACTGTTAACAAAACATAAAATACAATCAGCATCGCCCAATGAGAACACCCCACGCAAGGCACACAACTGACAAGTGAATCGTCTCCCACCTAGCTCCCTGTAGCAGGCAGCTGAGCCCCGGCTAAGGCCCATCCCATATTTGTTCCCCATTAGCATGACACAGTCGCAGCACTTGTGATGAGTTAAAGCTCGGTTGAGGTCATTGCAAACAGAGGCATGATGAGCGGTGATCATTGTCACCCCTTCTACAGAGGCGGTGCACACGGATACGATTCAATAGCAGGGGCACCTAGCCGACAGCTCTGCAAAACCCATCCGGTGGCAAATGATGAATTAATTACACCGGGAAACAATCCGTATCGAGTTATTGCCAGTTCCGGCAGGCCAGATTAAGCTGTCTGTGTTCCTGTCAAACATGCACCCTGATCGTGTCCACCACGCCTTTCAGAAGTCACAAATTACACAATAATAAAAATGGTGTGCGAATGCGATTTCAATCTCAACTAGTCGCTTGTTCCGATTGGAACGATTTGTGACATTTCTGACATTTTTGGCTGATCTGTGACATCTCTCTGACAAGGCCGTGGGGTCACCACTGTCACAAACCCGTCTCGGCAGGACCCTGCTCACATGCAGCTTCAAACACTGGCCGCCTCATTAAAACTCGCCCCCGCCTGCACCAAGGTGTCAGACTCCGCGCAGCTCGGACACGACCTTGACTGACCTTGACGCGACCCTGCGCCGGGGCAGAGCAGGATGCTCCCCGCTCTGTAAGGCCTATCTCTTCACATTGCATCACACACTCTAGTTCCCCCTACCCGGGACACAGGCTCATGACCCGTCTACTCAGGATGCTAATGACATGCGCCGTCGACACAGCAACTCAGCTGGTGTGTCAATGATCTCAGTAATCCTCCTGCCATTGGACGCTACTCAGAGATTTGTCACCGGCACCGCAGCGGTCACGGCGCAGCGCGAGGGGGGGGGGAGGGAGGTCGGGGGAGACAGAAATGTTGCACGGCCCCCGTCGGGCGGTCCGCGTATTTCACTCACATCGGGGGGTGAGGGAGGAGCCCGATGTTTGAGACCCCGTCTGTGTGATGCGGAATGCCGCCACTTTGTGTGGCTATTCTGCACAGGACACCGCCAGTTATTTACTGACCTATGTTTATGCGGAGCACCAGAGATGCTGCGAGGTAAATTGAAATAAGTGAGCTGTTTGTCGTGTTTAAGTGGGATGTAAATCAAACCAGGGTGAGCCATACCCCTGGGCTCCGGGGAATAAATGTCATAGAAGACATTTATGAGATGCAATACCACCACAGTGACCAAGGAGATTGATATCTGCTTTGAAATAGGTACAGTCAGCATAGATTCACTCAAAGTTAATTGTAGTCCAACTGTAAGAGACGACATTGAAGCAGGCGTCAAAATCATACAAAATGCCTTGGATCATTTACAATTGTTGATTCTTGTAGGGGCAGAATCCTTCCAAGACAAAATGGTTGGATAAACTACGGTTTATCGCTGCGCAACTGTACAGGGCACACACCCCTCCACGCCAAAAGTTTAGGGATTCTTTCGGGATTCAAAACCAAAGTTACGAGTGAACAACGACATCATCAGCCAAATGTCATTAACTTCCAACTAAAGGTCAGGTTCACTACCCCGCTGAAGTAGTTAGTTTCTCCACTGGCGCAGGTCGTGAGTCAGTGACCTGCACCCCTGATCGCTCACCCGGCCAGGGTCACGCGGCCGCAGCTGCCCGCTCTATTCCCGTGCCGCCGTCACGGGGACCGTCCGTGACGCGTGATCGCGTAACGCGACCCTCCGTGACGCCTCCGACAGCCACGTGACGGCGCCGTGACGTAACGGCCGTGTGACGGCGCGGGAGTGTGTCCAGAAATGGGACTCCATTAATCCATTAATGTATCAGATGCATTACATATCTTCCCATGCTTTTTGTTAGCGTGTTAACTGAAGAACCATATACCTCCATTGGTGACCCAGGGCGTATCTTATTCGTTATGTCAGAAGGAATTAAGCCATCGTCCTTCAGTCACTCATAGCTAAGTGCTTTTTGAACCATCCCAGCAAATATGCCATCTATGGCGCTCCAAAGTTGATCAAACGTAACAAGACACCAGTTCCCATCTCCCAGACAATCTCTACTGCTCCCCCACCGCCAGTATTTGCCGCGGCCTGACGCTCCAATGCGTATCCAATACACGACGCTCCAATACCGGCTGTGCGACGATCCTGGCGCGGTCAGTAGCCGGAACGCGGCCAATTCGACGCGGTTCCGTGAGAATGCGGCGAGTAATGGGGCGCGGCGGCGAACCGACCGCGCGCGGGAGCGGTAGACGGCGCATCGCTGGTATAACTTGTCCGGCAGCGGGCGATTTATAGTCACCTGAGGCGAGACTGAGAAGTTGGATAGGCGCGAGGCCGAATGAAAATAAAACACACGATATTTTCTGGTGTCGAATAATCTGTTTCTTAACATGTAGAGATAAGGTAAAGCAAGCACAATTAAAATTCAAGCATGTGAAAACCATATCTGCATAAGGCACACGCTGCAAAAGTGTAAAAACATCACTTGGCGCATTCCGCTGTCGAAGTTAAGACAGACACGCGTGCTCGTAAAGAATTCCCCAAATACTATTGCGAAATCACCCGTCCCGTTTCTGGTTTAAACTATTTAAAACGCCCCGACCATAATTAGTGCATTGTTGCATATTGGGAAACTCTGAAAACCAGTGGATGTCCTAAGCCACCTCTGCCGTCAGCTTTGACATCTGGGGGTCGAAAAAGGTTTCACTTGTAACTTTGGCTTCAACGCTTTACAATTCACACAGCCAGCTCGGGAGCCAGCCGAGTCTGAAAGGACCGGAAGGATGCGACTTAGACCCCGATGTAACATCCTCAAGTTAAAGGAGTCGTGGCTAGGTGGTAAATTATCTTACAGCTAAGCGTTGAGGAGGGATTACCTGGATCTGATTACAAAGGATTAGGCACCTAGGTAAAAATTATAATTAGTAGAGCACCCATTCCAGGGCTCCGGCAATGTATGTAAGCATCATATATGCATGTATCATATGATATAATACATATGATGTTACGTAAATGCTTTTCTGTGTTTTGAGTGATTTTGTCTGTGTTTGTTTTCCCGGGAAGTCGTGATGGCCTATTGACACCGTTTTGCCGTGTTCTTCTGTTCACTAACAATTACAAGTTAGTGATTTTCCGGACATGTCAACAAACAAGTTCAAATCATCGCTCAAACGTCGCTTTCAGCACTGATTTAGGCTTATGCATATGGGTTGCATGTATGTCAGCTGTATCTATTCATGCATAGCCATGCGTTTTGGTGAGTTTTGTGTGATATGTTGAGTGTGATGTCTTTTTGTTCCCTTCTCATATGACGCGGGAGCGTAATAGCCACAACTACCTGTGGATGCCCCCCCCCCCAGATGTTAAATACAATACAATATTCCCAGGGGGATCGATGATACCCCGAGGGCACTGTTTTGACGTGTATTTTTTCTCTTTCCAGGGGTATCGGAGATCACCCGACCATGGCGCTCCGGTGGGCGCTTCTAGTCGCCTTGGCCGCAGTGCCCGGTAAGCAAATAACACTTATAAAGGGATCATAGCAGCAGGTGCATAGTGTGCAGAAGTCGGTGCCATAACTAAAAATCGCCGGTTGGACACGTGCTCGAAAATTTGCATACCGTTTGAGCTCGCATTCCTTTTTTAAGCATCACTGTTAGTAAACCAGTGATCAGTCGAGGTTATTTCACTAGCGCCAATGGTGTGTTCACACCGATCACAACTGTAGCCGCTGACGGCACGGTTCGTCGGAAGGTCATCTCAGGCTCAAAAGAAACGATATATACCATTCGAAAGCTGACGGTGAGCTGAATCCAAAAATGTAATTTTTATCAAAATCGATCGATGGCCTTTTTTGAAAATTGCGTTTTAGTAAAAACTTAATAGTCTTTTATTCAACGGGCTGTCCCGGACATTCTTGAAAACATAAACATGTATTTTTGAGTTCCAGTGAAAGCTTAACGCCAAAAGAACAATATTCAGCGAAGCAATATTTCCAAACATTAATAAGCGTCTCTCACAGCCGACAATAAGGCGCAATCACACAGCTCAGTGTCACTATGGACCGAAGTCAGCCACACAGAAGCGTGAAATGACCCTTATCGACTCGCAGACCCGGCGCTCTCGGCCCGCCTGACCGGCCACGGAAAGAACGTTCGGCTCTCGTTCTACTAAACAAATGTCATATTTGTCAGTTTAACTGTCCACATCGCTATTAAAGTTATTCAGGATACCTGTGAAGAAAACTCATTGTTCTGCTTGATTTACAACATGCTTTAATTTACATTTTTCTTACACATGTTTTGTTCCATCCAGCTGCGACCAGTGCCCGCGCAGGGGAAGTGAGCGGGGTTTCACTGTCAGAGGCTGTACTGGTGACAGCTGCTCGGCCGTGCGACCGGTCAAAGGTTACCCTGCCCCGCCGGGCGCTACCCCCACTCCACCCGAGCTGAGGCCGGTGCAGCCTCTGACATTTCAGCGCGGCCAATTTTCCTTATATGGGCATGATACCAAGCTCAATTGAGCAAAGTAGACATGAACAAATGCAAATTAAAGGTAGTGTGCCAGCTTTCTTGGACCGTATGGAGTTAATGGCCCAGATAAGGAGAACCGGATTTTTAGAACTTATCCATACCTTCAAAACTCATGGAAACGTCTTAAATTCTTCAAATTTTGAGTACCCCAGTGCGAAATTCGCCCCGACGGGTTGTCGGTCGTACCCCAACCACATTTCACACCACTATGAACAATAAATGCACACACTGAAATCGCTATTACCGATATGCTCATCCAATCAAGTTTCGATAAACCCGTTCATCATCATCTCCTGCGGTTTCGAACACGCCTGTTAGGTGGCTTCTGATGCTCGTCGAGGTCGGAATTTCCAAATACGCGTGGTGCGTCGGGCCGCGCGCTCTGACTTCGGCCAAGAAAAATGCGTCAGCTGATCATTGCCATTTCTGCCACTTGCGTGTGGTGAAATGGGGTCATAACTTATAAGACGGCTTTTTCATATCAATTATTTTACATAAAATCATATTTCAAACCATAAATAATGTTCGACAGCCAAATAAAAGAAACAATACCAATACGGGCTTACAGTTTAAGGCTCGACATTGTGTTGTCTACGATTAGACAGCTGATAACTCATTCCCGTACGTCGTATGGTCGTAACACTATAATGACCTTTGCTTATTGTCACAAGTGCGCCGCATTCGCGATTGTTGCCCGACGCCTGTTTGCAGGTGAGCCCACTACAGTTGTTATACATATCTAAAAACCGAAAAACTTTTAGGCGAAAAAGGCACTATTCCAGGCCCATTTTTGATTTTTTTTGCGATATTAGGTAAAAACAGAAGCTTCTTATCCTAGGAAAAATAAAATGGGAAATCTTTCAAAGGTGGCACACTACCTTTAATGCATGATGTGAAGATGACAGAACAATGAATTTTCTTCACAGGTATCCTGAATAACTTTAATAGCGATGTGGACAGTTAAACTGACAAATATGACATGTGTTTAGTAGAACGAGAGCCGAACGTTCTTTCCGTGGCCGGTCAGGCGGGCCGAGAGCGCCGGGTCTGCGAGTCGATAAGGGTCATTTCACGCTTCTCAGTGGCTGACTTTGGTCCATCGTGACACTGAGCTGTGTGATTGCGCCTTATTGTCGGCTGTGGGAGACGCATATTAATGTCTGGAAATATTGCTTCGCTAAATATTGTTCTTTTGGCGTTCAGCTTTCACTGGAACTCAAAAATACATGTTTATGTTTTCAAGAATGTCCGGGACAGCCCGTTGAATAAAAGATTATTAAGTTTTTACAAAAACGCAATATTCAAAAAAGGCCATCGATCGATTTTGAGAAAAATTACATTTTTGGATTCAGCTCACCGTTTGGATTCAGCTTTCGAATGGTATATATCGTTTCTTTTGAGCCTGAGATGACCTTCCGACGAACCGTGACGGAGTTTGGCCGTGGTTCCAGCGGAGCCCGCGTCGATGGCATTCGGTTCCGGCGGCCGACACGCCCCGGTCAACATGGCCACGGGCCGGCACCTTCCCGACGACTGGAGCCAGTACGAGGAGTGGAAACAGCAGCAGCAGCAGCAGCAGGGCTCCTCCTGGCAGTCACAGGGCAGCTGGTCCTCCGGGTCCTCCTGGGGACACGGCTCCGGGTCCACGCAGAGCGGGTCCTGGATCCAGGGCAGCGGCACAGGGAACATTGGCAGCGTGGTCAGCGCCAACGGCACCGTCATCAGCAGCGGCAGCGGCAGCAGCAGCAGCAGCAGCAGCTCGGCGACAGCGAGCGACGACTCTGCGCTGCCGTGTCCCGGCCCCGGCCCCGGCACGGAGTACTTCACCTATCCCGGCAACTGCGCCAAGTAAGTGACGCCGAGGACGCACTCACTGCTGCCTGTGATGAGTGGATCAAGGGGAATGCGCCTCCTCAGTAAATTTGTGTTCTTTCATTCAACTTGTTGTCTGCTTCCAAAGGCTGATTGTGACTAATTCACACACAACCCTGTAAAGCTAAATCCAACTGAAGGGATAAAAAGTGCCTGCATGTGATAACGAAAACACGTTAAAATCATCCGAGACTTTAAGAAGCAGCTTTCTGATTTTCTGAGACTGAGGAGCGAGCTCTACCTAATCATTATCCGATTCCCTGCACTCGTTCGACCGTGTCTCTGACAGTAGACGTCCCTGTTTCTGTCAGGTTCTACCGCTGCGTGCCGCAGTCGGTGGACGGCACCGTCTTCAAGGCCTTCAGCTTCGACTGCCCGCCCGGCACTGCCTTCGACGCCGCCAACGAGCTGTGCAACTTCCCCGAGGCCATCGAGCCCAAGCCCGACTGCGTCGCCGGAGCCGGAGCCGCGGGATCCGGAGCGACCGGAGGATCTGGCAGTACCAGTGGATCTGGAAGTACTAGTGGATCTGGAAGTACCGAAGAATCGAGTAGTACTAGTGGATCTGGCAGTACTAGTGGATCTGGAAGTACTAGTGGATCTGGAAGTACTAGTGGATCTGGAAGTACTAGTGGATCTGGAAGTACCAGTGGATCTGGAAGTACCAGTGGATCTGGAAGTACCAGTGGATCTGGAAGCACTGGAGGTTCTGGAAGCGCCGGCGGATCTGGAAGTGTCGGAGGTTCCGGTAGCACTGGAAGCACTGGTGGATCTGGAAGTACTGGTGGATCCTCAAGCACTGGAGGTTCTGGAAGCACTAGCGGATCTGGCAGCACCGGTCAAGCTCAGTCCTCTGAGGTGATCGAGGGTGCTGGCCAGCCGTCCTCACAGCCGTGCCCCGGAGCCGGGTTCTTCGCCTACCCGGGAGACTGTGCAAAGTGAGTGGCCCCGTGACAAGTCGCGAGTGTGGGCCATTTCTGTTAGAAATGCTCGTATAACCGAGACATATTTCTTTCCTCATCGTTATAAGTCGACGAATATCCAAGTTGCAGCTTTTGGTTTTAGCAAAATCGCTAAAATATGTGTAATCTTTGAGATTTTGGGTTCTTGCAAAGCTGCATAAGAATGGAAACCGTTTTGAAGCTCCAAACCAACTTTTGAAGCATCTAGCTAACAGCGAAAAGCAGCTTCCTCCCTTTTGGATAATTATCACAGCTACACTCGACAAAGCTCAAAGTACATTCAGCAATGATCCCATGTCGCCAAACCGTTGTCCATTCGGGACCTTATCTGGTGTGCCACACGCTGACCCCGCTGTCCTCCCGCCAGGTACCTGCGCTGCTGGGACCGGTTCGGCACGGGCCAGATGGTGGCCTTTGAGTACACCTGCGCCGAGGGACTGGTGTTTGACGATCAGCTCAGTGTGTGTAACTGGCCCAGCGCTGTCAGCAGGCCCGACTGTGCCGCCGGAGCCGGCGGAAGCAGCGGAGGGACTGCCGGAACTGGAGGTTCTGGAGGAACTGGAGGTTCTGGAAGTACTGGAGGTTCAGGAGGTACTGGAGGCACCGGAGGCACTGGAGGTACTGGAGGCACTGGAGGAACTGGAAGCACCGGAGGAACCGGAGGTACTGGAGGCAGTGGGGGCACCGGTGGAACTGGTGGCACTGGAGGAACTGGAGGTACTGAAGGAACTGGCAGCACTGGAGGTACTGGGGGAACTGGAGGCACGGGAAGCACCGGTGGCACCGGCGGAACCGGTGGTACTGGAGGAACTGGCAGTACTGGAGGAACTGAAGGTTCAGGAAGTACCGGAGGCACTGGAGGTACTGGAGGAACTGGCAGTACTGGAGGAACTGGTGGTACTGGAGGAACTGGGGGTACTGGAAGCTCTGGAGGAACCGGAGAGACTGGAGGAACCGGAGGTTCTGGCAACATCGCGGACTCTGGCGTGAACGAAGGACAGTTTACCTGCACCCAGGCCGGTTTCTTCCCGAACGAAGACTGCAAAAAGTAAGTGCTTAAATTGTTCAGTATTGTAAGACATGTTTATAAAGTCTGATGGCCAAGAGTTGCGAACGAAAATTATAATTAAAATCTAAATCTTTTTGTATTTCAGACGTTTCGACAACACTGTGTCATCGTCAGTAATTGATATAAAATATTTCCTGAAGTCACAAATCACATTTTAAAAATAACATCAGCATTAAGAAATTACCCATGGTAATGACATTTCCGTGTTTTTACATTCGATCACGTTCGTTCCTCACAAGCGTGCTCCGTTTCAGCAAGGATAATCTGGCTGTCGCTGCTGCCATCGAATAAAATCCCCCTCTTGTGTTAAGTGTGTTCTTGGTCTTGATGTGTGCAGCCTCTAGTGCCCTCCTGATATTTTTTTTTTCTGAAATACAAAAAGATTTAGATTTTAATTATAATTTTCGTTCGCAACTCTTGGCCATCAGACTTTATAAGTGCTTAAAGCTTTATACCTCGATTTATATTTGGGGCAAGGGAAGGCAAAGTTTGCCAACACGCACGGCAGTTACACATTGGAAATTCAGGCAGCATTAGAATATGAAATATAAAACTGCATGTGCCAAAGAACACGGTAAAGAAGCACTATCAATATGTAGCGTACAGGCCTCAAGTTGTTAAATACTAAATACCATCTGCATCAACAACATTATTCCTTCTGCAGGTCACTCATGTTACTGGCTAAACTATTACCACACAGCTTCCGCGCTTACCAGCGAACATGCTCTTTCAATAGAATGACCACCATCCACCTCTCCCTCCGCCAGGTTCTACGAGTGTGTTGACTGGAACGGCGACGGCTCCCTGTTCGGCGTCTTCACCAAGGACTGTCCGCCGGGAACCATGTTCGACGCCAACATGAACGAAGGCCTGGGCGGCTGCAACTTCCCCAGTGCCATCGAGCCGCCGCCGGCCTGTCTGGGAGAGACTGGAGCGGAAGGAGGCGCTGGAACCGGAGGAAGTGCAGGAGCTGGAGGAATTGCTGGAGCTGGAGGGAGCGCTGGAACCGGAGGTAGTGTAGGGGCTGGAGGAAGTTCTGGAACTGGAGGAAGCGAGGGAATTGGAGGAACTGCTGGAACTGGAGGAACTGCTGGAACTGGAGGAAGCGCTGGAACTGGAGGAAGCGCCGGAACTGGAGGAACTGCCGGGGTTGGAGGAGGTGAGGGTACCGGAGGAAGCGAAGGCACTGGAGGAAGTACAGGTACCGGAGGAGGCGCCGGAACTGGAACAAGTTCTGGTACTGAAGGAAGCGCCGGCACTGGAGGTAGTGCTGGAGCCGGTGGCTCCGAGGTCGAAAGCTCTGGCGATCTCGAAGGATCTGGTGTGACCGGTGGCACTGGAGAAATTGAGGGCTCTGGCGACGTCGAAGGCTCTGGCGACGTCGAAGGATCTGCATCGAGCGGCGAAGGACAGTTTACCTGCACCCAGGCTGGGTTCTTCCCGCATGAAGACTGCAGGAAGTAAGTAAAATGCCTATATACATGAGCATTGAGTTATTTCCTTTTACAACATGTCGAGAGCAAGAACCATTGTCACAGTGATAAATGATAACGTTACCTTACGATTTTAAAGGTATCCCAAAAATCAAATCAAGGAAAGGTGCTTAGCCGAGAAACAAAAACCAAGATCCCTGTATCCTGCCTACAACCACAAGAGCAGGGCGTATGCCAGATTATGAAATAAGAGCAGTGGCGCAGCCAGAACTCTGGCGACGGGGGTGAGAGACGTTCGCGATGGGCCCCCCAGCAAAGTGGGCCCCCTCAACCTAATGGGGGCCCCTTACCAACAACGAAAAACCAGCCAAATCGGGGAAAAGGACAAATATCTCTTGATCTGAAGAGGCACGTAAAAAACAACAGCATATTTACAGAAACACGACCATTCTGCCCATACTTGATGGACAGCGTGCAATTCATGGCCAGCGGCCACTCAAATGGTCGGGCTAGGTCAAAAAGCTTTTAAAAAAGCTCAACATCAGTTTTTCGACTATTACTTTTGATATAGGAGACGAGGTAGAGTAATGAAATTGTCTTGAAGGTGTTAATCATTCATTCGGATCAGTTGATGACCATCATGAACTTCTCAAGTAAGGGCATGACCTTGATCTGCGGTCACATTTTGAAGTTGAACTTTTTAATGGAAATTATAGGTGTTAACATTCGATGCATGTTAACGAGAGAATGATGACAAAGTAAATGTCTCATAATTTTTCTCACCAAAGTTCTTGGAAAAATTCTTAGCAATTAGCAAAACTATTTTGGTAAAATGCGACTATTTAGAATTTAGATGATTTCGCCCTCTGCTCTGTTGCCAAACTTGACATGAGGCATTGAGGTCAAATCTTAAAAGCGAAAGCGTTTTGAAAGGCCTATCGAATGAGTTGTTCCGCGAAGCTCTAGCTCTTTAGTTCACGAGTTATACGGTAACGGTTATTTGTGAAAATATAAAAACAAGAATTTTTTCGTCGTAATCTTGTCTTTGTGTTTATCATAATTTTATCATAATTTCATCTTCAATGACCTCAGCGATGACCTAATCGAAAAATGACCTCTACGATTCTGAAGCATCCTACAGCGATCTGTTGCTTTTCTCGTCTTTCTAGCCTTCTTAAATTATGATCGGGTTTGGCCGATACGCCCCCCCCCCCCATGGCTGATTGCACGCGTTAGAGAGCTATCGAACCCACTTTCAGCGCGCTATAGCTTTATATGTCCTCGAGTGTCGAAATAGGCGAAACTTTTCCTTCAATGAACATGATGACGTGGGCTTTGGTCTGAACAGCAACATGACTTAAGTAATTTCTCCATGATTTTCGACGCTCTTTAGAAAGCTGCCTACCACCGCACTTGTCGCTACGTGACCCTGGAGTCGGGTTAGAAGGGAATATTCAAACACCCCTCAGGGGCGTAAAACTGGAAAGCCTGGGGCCCTGCTCTGCGGGGCGCGGTCGAGCTAGGCTAGAGCCAGTTCGGGATGTTTACAAGCCCACGTAAAGCCCTAAAAAATCTGCATAGAGCACAAGCCTTCCAAGACTTGGGGGTTTAGATATCAACAATCGACATGGTCTTTTGAGACCTGCGTGGTGGCTATCAGAGGTCGGTGGGCCCCTCAAAAGCCGGTGCAGGAGCCTCGGGTGTCAGTTTGGAGCCATCATGGACCGGTGTGAAGTCCTGATGAATACCAAGGCGTCAAACCCCTAGACGTCAGGGTGGGGCCGGGCGGTGAGGCAGGCACAGACCTGAAGAGAAGAGAAATTTTCAGATGTCGGCTTGGCATCTTAACACCGCGTGGTTCTCTTGCTCAGTGACCCGACCTGACCCCTCCCCAGACACCCACCGTGTGGTGGGGCCCTGCATGGCTTTCTCAGAGGCTGACATATCGTACTGCGGGACCTCCATGAGCCTCAAAAACCTCTATGGGCCCCCTCACGCTTGGGGTAGGCTTCCTGAAGCATAAAATCTGAGTCTTGAGATGGGCCCATTAGACATGAACTGGGCCATCAATATACATGTGGTGAGTTGACCTATATCAAACATGATATCGGCTCAATCAGGATTGGGATAGGCCCTCTCAGACCCAGACCAGGCACGGAGTACGGACCCTCCCACACATAGGATGATCCTTTCATTCCTGGGATGAGTCTTCTCAGGCCTGAAATGGGCCCCTCTCAGGCCTGAAGTGGACCCTCTCAGGCCTCAAATAGGTCCTCTAGGACCTGAAATGGGCCCTCTCAGGCCTGACATTAGCCCTCTCAGACCTGAAATGGGCCCCTCTCAGGCCTCAAATAGGACCTCAAGGGCCTGAAATGGGCCCCCTCAGGCCTGACATTAGCCCTCTCAGACCTGAAATGGGCCCCCTCAGCCCGTAAATGGTCCCTATCATGTCGAAAAAGGGCCCCTGGCCCCTCATACCGTAACTGGGCCCTCTCAGGTCTGAAATGGTGCCTCTTATGCCTGAAATGGGCCCTCTCTGGCCTCAAACGGGCCCTCTCTGGCCTAAAACGGGCCCTCTCTGGCCTAAAACGGGCCCTCTCTGGCCTCAAACAGGCCCTCTAGGGCATGAAATGAGCCCTCTCAAGCTTGAAATGAGCCCTCTCAAGCTTGAAATGGCCCCCTCAGGCCAAAAATGGGCCCCTCTCAGGCCTGAAATGGGCCCCTCTCAGGCCTGAAATGGGCCCTATCAGGCCTCAAGCATGCCATCTAGGGCCTGAAATGGACCCCTTCAGGCCTGAAATGGGCCCTCTCAGGCCTGAAATGGCCCCTCTCAAGCCTCAAACAGGCCCTTTAGGGCCTGAATTGGGCCCTCTCAAGCTTCAACTGGGCCCCTTCAGGCCTGAAATGGGCCCTCACATACCTGAAATGGACCCTCTGAGGCCTGAAATGGCCCTTTCATGCCATGGAACGGGCCCTCCTAGGCCTTGGATTAGTTCAATCGGGCCTTGGATCACCCCTTAAATCATAAAATGGGACTATATATCCTAAGGGGGGGGGGGCTATCAGGCCTGAAGACTGTTTTTCAGTCCTATGACGGACCTTGACATTAGTGATAAAAAGATTGTCAGGCTGCATAACGTTACAGTTCGAATCGACGGTGGGCCCCTAGGATAACAGACGGGGGTGAGATCTCACCCCTTTCACCCCCCTGGCTGCGCCACTGAATAAGAGTGCACTGGTGTTTAAGACCAGCATGAATTGTTCTTCAGCGATTGTCCCTAAATGGCCCTAACTCTTCGCAGGTTCTACACTTGCGTGGACTGGTTCGGCGACGGCAGCTCCTTCACAGTCTACACGCAGGACTGCGCCCCGGGAACCATGTTCGACGCCAACATGAACGACGGGGACGGCGGCTGCAACTTCCCCGGTGCCATCGAGCCGCCGCCGGCCTGTCTCGGAGAGGCTGGAGCGGAAGGAACTGGAGAAACTGCTGGAACTGAAGGAAGTGCCGGAACTGGAGAAAGTTCTGGAACTGGAGGAACTGCCGGAACTGGAGGAAGTGCTGGAACTGGAGGAAGTGCCGGAATCGGAGGAAGTGCTGGAACTGGAGGAACCGAGGGCACTGGAGGTGCAGGCTCTGGAAGTGCTGGAACTGGAGGAAGTTCTGGAGCTGGAGGAAGCGAAGGTACCGGAGGAACTTCTGGAACTGGAGGAAGCGAGGGAACTGGAGGTACTGCTGGAACTGGAGGAACTGCTGGAACGGGAGTAAGTGCTGGTACTGGAGGAAGCGCAGTAACTGGAGGAAGTGCTGGTACTGGAGGAAGCGCTGGAACTGGAGGAAGCGAGGGTACTGGAGGAAGCGAGGGTACTGGGGGTAGTGCTGGAACCGGAGGAAGCGCCGGAACCGGAGGAACTTCTGGAACTGGAGGAACGGCTGGAACCGGAGGTTCTTCTGGAACTGGAGGAACTACTGGCGCCGGTGGCTCTGAGGTCGAAGGCTCTGGTGACGTTGAAGGATCTAGCGTGACCGGTGGCACTGGAGAAATTGAGGGCTCTGGGGATATTGAAGGCTCTGCATCGAGCGGCGAAGGACAGTTTACCTGCACCCAGGGTGGATTCTTCCAGCATAAAGACTGCAAAAAGTAAGTGTCACCAGACTTATTTACAGGTGTCTCAGAGACTAATTTTCCAAGACAAATACACGATCACACGTTTTGATGTAGGTGTGCTCACTGCTCAGGGTAACAAGGTAGGCGGTGATCCAATTAGGTATAACGTCTAAGTTTGAATGCAAAATTTGCTGTAGGTACCGCAGATGACAACGGCATGACTGACAAACTTAGAGCCACGGCATACATCAGATGATCAGACACCATTGCTGCTGATGAACTTGTTGATGCCGAACATGTGCGCTCCTTATAAACGCAACTCGTAATGCAATGTACTTGAAGGCCATCACCGGATCAATGAACAATAATGCCGTCATGGCCGAGTTTCCAACCAATTAGGTACCTAGGCGACTTGTTGAAATGACTTGAAAGCGAGAAGGCTCTCCAAGCCGCTAACTCTCTTCTCCACCTTTCCCTCCGCCAGGTTCTACGAGTGTGTTGACTGGAACGGCGACGGTTCCCTGTTCGGCGTCTTCACCAAGGACTGTCCGCCGGGAACCATGTTCGACGCCAACATGAACGAAGGCCTGGGCGGCTGCAACTTCCCCAGTGCCATCGAGCCGCCGCCCGCCTGCCTCGGTGAGGCTGGAGCGGAAGGAGGCACTGGAACCGGAGGAAGTGCAGGAACTGGAGGTACTGCTGGAACTGGAGGAAGCGAGGGAACTGGAGGTACTGCTGGAACCGGAGGAAGTGCCGGGTCTGGAGGAAGCGAGGGTACTGGGGGAAGTGCCGGGTCTGGAGGAAGCGAAGGTACCGGGGGAACTTCTGGAACTGAAGGAAGTGAGGGTACCGGAGGATCTTCTGGAACTCAAGGAAGTGCTGGAACTGGAGGAAGTGCTGGAACTGGAGGAAGTGCTGGAACTGGAGGAAGTGCTGGAACTGGAGGAAGTGCTGGAACTGGAGGAAGTGCTGGAACTGGAGGAAGCGAGGGCACTGGAGGAAGTACAGGCTCTGGAGGAACTGCTGGCACTGGAGGAAGCACTGGAACCGGAGGAAGCGCAGGTACCGGAGGGAGTGCCGGGTCTGGGGGAAGTGCCGAAACTGGAGGAACTGCTGGCACTGGAGGAAGTGCTGGAACAGGAGGAAGCGAAGGTACCGGAGGAAGTGCCGGAACTGGAGAAGGTGCTGGAGCCGGTGGCTCTGAGCTCGAGGGCTCTGGCGATCTTGAAGGATCTGGTGTGACCGGTAGCACTGGAGAAATTGAGGGCTCTGGCGACATTGAAGGCTCTGGCGACATCGAAGATTCTGGATCGAGTGGTGAAGGACAATTTACCTGCACCCAGGGTGGATTCTTCCCGCATGAAGACTGCAAAAAGTAAGTATTTCCAGGCTCGTTGACATTATGCCCCACAGACTACAGTTCTCCGACCCAAATACGTCATGCAACCCCTTGCTGTAGGTGTGCGAAGGGTGACAGAGTAAGGCGGTGGTCCAATACTTAAGTCAGTTTGAAAGAACAAACGAAACGATCACGCACTAGAAAGCGCTTATAAGCGACCAACAACATAGCAGTCGCGGAATACATTAGACGCCGTTCCTTTGTAGACCTTGTTGCTTACCTACACATTCGATCTCTATAAAGATGAGTTACGTTTTTAATGAAGGCTTTCAACGGACAACCATCCCAGTGCCGCCGGCGGCCAATGGCGGCACTAACCTTGCAGATTCATAGCTAACCGACCTCTTGAAGTGACTTCATAATCAGCCTTTGCAAGCGACTAACTATCGTCCCACCTCTCTCCCTGTCAGGTTCTACGAGTGCGTTGACTGGAACGGCGACGGCTCCCTGTTCGGCGTCTTCACCAAGGACTGTCCGCCGGGAACCATGTTCGACACCAACATGAACGAAGGCCTGGGCGGCTGCAACTTCCCCAGTGCCATCGAGCCGCCGCCGGCCTGTCTGGGAGAGACTGGAGCGGAAGGAGGTGCTGGAACCGGAGAAAGTGCTGGAGCTGGAGGAAGTGCAGGAGCTGGAGGAAGTGCAGGAGCTGGAGGAAGTGCAGGAGCTGGAGGAACTGCTGGAACTGAGGGAAATGCTGGAACCGGAGAAACCGGCAGTTCTGGCACCGGTGGCTCTGAGATCGAAGGTTCTGGCGATCTTGAAAGCTCCGGTGAGACTGGTGGTACCGGAGAAGTTGAGGGCTCCGGAGAAATAGAGGGCTCTGGCGACGTTGAAGGCTCCGGCGACATCGAAGGCTCTGCATCGAGTGGCGAAGGACAGTTTACCTGCACCCAGGCTGGATTCTTCCCGCATGAAGACTGCAGGAAGTAAGTAAAATGACAAAGCACGTCCCACAGTCTTTGCCCATGACGTTCTCATAGCAACTCCTGGTCATGCACACGAAGGTATCAAATTATGAGCTCACTTCTGTTGTGCTTTTCATTATTGAAAGGACCTTCGAGGATACTGGTATCCTTACCCGGTAACAAGCAGATATCTTATGCTAAAACCCTCTAAATATCATGCGACATATACATGGAATAGGTCTCAAGTGTTGTGCAGCATTGGCACGTTGTGACCTATATTTAATTTCCGCAGGTTCTACACTTGCGTGGACTGGTTCGGCGACGGCAGCTCCTTCACAGTCTACACGCAGGACTGCGCCCCGGAAACCATGTTCGACGCCAACATGAACGACGGGGACGGCGGCTGCAACTTCCCCGGTGCCATCGAGCCGCCGCCAGCCTGTCTAGGAGATGCTGGAGCGGAAGGAGGCACTGGAACCGGAGGAAGCGCAGGAGCTGGAGGAACTGCTGGAACTGGAGGAAGTGCCGGGTCTGGAGGAAGTGCTGGTACCGGAGGATCATCTGGAACTGGAGGAAGCGAGGGTACCGGAGGAACTTCTGGAGCTGGAGGCAGCGCTGGAGCCGGTGGCTCTGAGGTCGAAGGCTCTGGCGATGTTGAGGGCTCCGGCGAGACCGGTGGCATTGGAGAAGTTGAGGGCTCCGGAGAAATTGAGGGCTCAGGGGAAATCGAGGGCTCTGGCGACATCGAAGGTTCTGCATCGAACCCCGAAGGACAGTTTACCTGTACCCAGGGTGGATTCTTCCCGCACGAAGACTGCAGAAAGTAAGTGTTTCCAGGCTCATTTACAGTGCAACCACACACTGATTTTCAGCCCAAATGTACCATTTTACCTACCTTTGATGTAGATTTGCTATCGGCGTAACAAACTTACAGGGTGATTTTTTTTACTTGTTAAAAAGTAATGAGGTTTAGTGGAGTTAAAATGCAAATATATATGGTAAAATTATATACCAGCATGACGAGCATTCTGGGACATTTTGATTTCATGCAGACACGATGTGAAGGAACGTCCATCGTGTATTTTACTTGTGCTTGAAGTTACCCCCTCTCTCACCGACACGAATCAGCCCGCCTGAGCACGTGTTGAACAGCACCATGGACTCACGTACTCATTAGGCGGACTGAAAAGGCTCCTATCACCAATTTTCAGCTCTGCCAGATATTTCCAATGTTTTCTTGTTATATCTGCCATACCTGGGTCCAAAAACTAGAAGTCTAGAAAAGGCAGGTCGAGGATTTTGCTACTGGCGGCCCTGGTGGTGTCTGATTCGCTGTTTTTTGTTTCTCCCTGAAGACTGATTATTCAGAGGTTGCACATACGCCAGATGGACCGTTTGAAGGTCATTTATGACTACAAGCTTGTTCCTGCATTATTTAACGTCTTTCTGAGGTATCTCCTTGATGATCGTATGCTTCGAACTGCCTCAATGCTTCAAAATCATCGTTTTGTGTCGTTCCTTACTGAACGGCGGTGGACCATGCGTGCCCGATTGGTGGGACATTTTCAGGCTCCATTGGGGCCGAGGCCTTCGGTTAAAAGGGACAAATCATGACACCATACAAAATGTCCCAGATTTATCTATCACGTGCATTGCTTTTTTTGCACAAGATTTTTCGATTTAGGGACCACCATTGACGTTTACTTTTTAACAATTAAAAAAATCACCCTGTAGATAGTGGTCCATACACTTTACCGATCAAACAAAAAGATGCCTAACGCACCACCGCAAAGACTTAGACTGACATTACAGCCACGGTTATATATAAGACGCGGTTCCGTTCCAGATCAAGGTGATTGCGGACAGGTGCGATCTACATTATCGTTAACGAAGGGGTGACCTCGCAAGCGGCCTTTCCAGGCGACTGACAATCGTTGATCCTCCCCATGTCATTTTCTTCGAGTCAGGTTCTCTATCTAGCCGACTTCTTCAGGTAACTTCAATGAGTGTCCCAGCGATCAGCCTTTGCAGGCGACTAACTATCGTCTCCACCTCTCTCCCTCCGCCAGGTTCTACGAGTGTGTTGACTGGAACGGCGACGGATCACTGTTCGGCGTCTTCACCAAGGACTGTCCACCGGGAACCATGTTCGACGCCAACATGAACGCCGGCCTGGGCGGCTGCAACTTCCCCAGTGCCATCGAGCCGCCGCCCGCCTGTCTGGACGGAGCCGAGGGCGCCGTGGAGGGATCGGGACAGGAGGGCGAGGGAGGAACTGCTGGAGGATCTGGCGAAGGGTCTACTGGGGTATCTACTGAAACTGGCGGATCTACAGGAACGGGTGGAGAATCAGCTACTGGTGGATCTGCTGGAACTGGCGGAGAATCGGCTACTGGTGGATCTGCTGGAACGGGTGGAGAATCAGCCACTGGAGGATCTACAGGAACCGGTGGAGAGTCGGCCACTGGAGGATCTACTGGAACTGGCGGAGAATCGGCTACTGGTGGATCTGCTGGAACGGGTGGAGAATCAGCCACTGGAGGATCTACTGGAACTGGAGGATCTACAGGATCTGGCGGAGAGTCAGCTACTAGTGGATCTACTGGCACTGGCGGAGAATCAGCCACTGGAGGGTCTACAGGAACTGGTGGAGAAACGACCACCGGCGGCTCTGGCGAATCTAGCAGTGGATCTGGCAGCAGCTCCGGCGGCTCCGGTAGCTCTGCGGAGTTCTCTCTGACCTGCGGCCGCTCCGGCGCGCTGCGCCACCCGGTGTTCTGTAACCAGTTCTACAGGTGCGAGTGGAGCGGAAAGCTCTGGTCGTTCGTGGTCGGCGCCTGCTCCGACGACCAGATCTACGACGAGCAGCAGCAGACCTGCGTCCAACGACGTGAGTAACGCCGGGGTAATTATAAATGGAAATGGAGGGCATTGATTAGTTAGCTAGTTAATCAGAGTTGGAAGCCATTGCGTTGCGTAAGCTTGACGAATGTTTGATGAAGGCAACGACGACGCAAGCGATTTTCATCGCGTTTGACCTCAAAGAAAGGGAATTTCATGGATATCTTTTTTATATAAAAGTGTTTTCTTGGATTTTCCCTCGCCTTAATGTTCATTTTAAACAAAACAACCATTCGGTGTCATACTTGCACAAAAAATCACCCAAACCAAAACTGTCAGCCTGACCACCCTCTCTCCCTTTCCTCAGCGGCCGGGGAGACGTGTATGGCCATGGGCTTCGGCCTGCCCAGCGGAGACGGCGACGGCGCCCTGCCCGGCGGGGTGCTCCCCGACGGCACCTTCCCCGACGGAGAACTGCCCGACGGCGCCGAGAGCGACGGTGACGGCGTCGTTATCGACGGAGAGACGGTGCAGATCCCCGGCAGCTTTGCCAACGACGGCAGCGAGGTGGGTCTGCGGTACAGCCCAGCCGAGTATCGGATAATTCACCGGAGATAACGGCTGGCATCGCTTGGGTAGCTGATATGCTACGAGGAATGCTGAAGTAGACGCCGGCTGAAGCTCCATATTTGATGACAAATTCTATTTTCAGTTGTTTAAATACTAATATTGAGCTTTCCAATGTGACGTCTGGTGATTGTTCCCAGGACTTCACCTGTGAGACGGAAGGGTTCTTCGAGTTCCCGGGCGACTGCGCACACTTTTACCGCTGCGTGACGCTCGACTCCGGAGATCTCACCAGTAAGTACTCGGTAGTCGCGAGACATTGAGCCGATGGGACCGACGCGGGCTTGACCTTCTTTGGATCACACCTCAACTCCGCTCCAAGGGACGCAAGGCGGAGGATAGGCGAAAGTGAGCTAGTTCCAGTCGAGTTTAGGATAGTTCATTCACCGTTCATTGGTAGGTGTCTTCAAGGGAAACCCTAGAGGACGGGAAATATACTAATCACGATGGGAGAACGGTCCTAAGTCATTATTTATATCGCTGATTCTGACCTCAGCCGATGTTGAGATATAACACCTCGTCCACAACATCCCTGACGCACCATTTGTGACCTGTTTCTGACAGATTTGTCCTCCCCCCCCCCCCCCAGCGCTTTATGCACAAGTGTCCCGAGCTGTACCATTTGTTGCCTATGTCTGACAGTTCCGTCCCCGCCCCCAGCTCTTCTGTACAAGTGTCCCGAGCTGTACCAGATGTGACCCGTGTCTGACAGTTGTATCCCCGCCCCCCAGCTCTTCTGTACAAGTGTCTCGAGCTGTGCCAGTTGTGACCCGTGTCTGACAGTTGTATGCCCGCCCCCCAGCTCTTCTGTACAAGCGTCTCGAGCTGTACCAGATGTGACCCGTGTCTGACAGTTGCATCCCCGCCCCCAGCTCTTCTGTACAAGTGTCCCGAGCTGTACCAGATGTGACCCGTGTCTGACAGTTGTATCCCCGCCCCCCAGCTCTTCTGTACAAGTGTCTCGAGCTGTGCCAGTTGTGACCCGTGTCTGACAGTTGTATGCCCGCCCCCCAGCTCTTCTGTACAAGCGTCTCGAGCTGTACCAGATGTGACCCGTGTCTGACAGTTGTATCCCCGCCCCCCAGCTCTTCTGTACAAGCGTCTCGAGCTGTACCAGATGTGACCCGTGTCTGACAGTTGTATCCCCGCCCCCCAGCTCTTCTGTACAAGTGTCTCGAGCTGTGCCAGTTGTGACCCGTGTCTGACAGTTGTATCCCCGCCCCCCAGCTCTTCTGTACAAGTGTCCCGAGCTGTACCAGATGTGACCCGTGTCTGACAGTTGTATCCCCGCCCCCCAGCTCTTCTGTACAAGTGTCTCGAGCTGTGCCAGTTGTGACCCGTGTCTGACAGTTGTATGCCCGCCCCCCAGCTCTTCTGTACAAGCGTCTCGAGCTGTACCAGATGTGACCCGTGTCTGACAGTTGTATCCCCGCCCCCCAGCTCTTCTGTACAAGTGTCCCGAGCGGTACCAGTTGTGACCCGTGTCTGACAGTTGTATCCCCGCCCCCCAGCTCTCCTCTACAAGTGTCCTGACCGGTACGTGTACGACCCGCGCCAGCGCCGCTGCGAGTCCGTCGCCCGGGCGCCGGCCTGCGTCACAGACTCCTCTGCGGTGCTCGAGCTCCGGACGCCCCTCTTCGTGCACCAACTCCAGGAGAGCCAGCTCAAATCGTTCTTCCGGCGCCCCGCCAACCCCCTGCTGAGGATCGGCGGCGGCAGCGACGACGGCATGCCCTACTACGAGATGAACGGCCTGCGCAGGGCCAGGGGCGCCTATTCTCCCTAACTTACTGCCACCTATCGGCATGACGCGGAACTACAGATTCCGCCTCGGGCCGCTGCCGTTTGCGGAGCTGCCGTCGTGTGGGGACCATTTAACGCCCTAAATTCGGGGCGGTATTTATTATTGATCTGAGTTGGCAAAGTGGGCATTTCGAGCATTTTTATATCGCGTACACGCTCGAATAGTGGCCGTTTGGGCGGGACATTTAACGCTATACTTGTGCCAACTTGTCGGTGTGTGTTAGGAAGTGTGGACGCCAACGCGTGAAATTCTCATGGACAAAATACGGCATTAAAATACCTGACTTGACGGACAGAAAGTGAGATGAGATTTGACCTATGTGCCGTTGGTAAAGTTCAATATTCGTGGCATTATTGACAATCACGATATTTTGATCCAGGTTATTATTATTATTGAGGTTAGAGTCCCCACTGAAGTGCGTTACGGACCAGGTTGCCGAGGCCCATGCGTCGGTGATTGTAAAGGTATGTGTGTGTGTATTGTATGTGAGTGTGTGGCGACCGGCCTCTCTCTCCCGTACCGCGCCGCCGTCCACGCTGTGATGAGATGTGATGTGATTATGTGTGACGGTAAGGGTGCATTCGCGGCCTGACGGCCATCCGCTAACCTTAGGAGGTATCCCAGGTATACAGGGCATCAGCTGCGTGTGAGCGGGCTCACACAGCCGAATAAAGGCGTGAAATGTGACAGCGACTTTGGTGACGCCGGGGTGTTTCCAACACTGGAGACACTTACTGTATGGTTACGGTAACGGATCATGTCAACAGCAAGATGAAGATGGATAATTCAGTCCTTTCCAAAGCGGGAAATAATTATGGATAGAGAGCACATCAGAAAAACACTATTTTCACAAACAAGAAAAACACTATTTTCTCTTGTTCAAAAGAGAGTGCTATGACCCAGCACATACCAATTTGTAGCGCTGTCCTCCTTTAGCTCATTTAGCGTCTAAGAAAACGCACAACTGTGGTTGGTATCGAGAGCTTTCGGCGCTACCAAGACCACGCACGCAGGTAAATGTCGAGAACTTGCAGTCACCCAGACATAGCACTCATACGAACTACAAAAGCGAGCGTGAAACTGCTAAGCTATCTACCATCTGCGAGGCGTTGCATGCAAGAAAGGAAGTATGATTTGCGCATGTCTTTCACGATGGCTCAACAATGAAAAAAGTCCGATAGCCTGGAGGTTTGAATATTGTATTTTTATAGCAGAAAAATAGCACACGACAATTTGAGTCCCCTTCCCATCATAACTCTTCACGTTAACAAATCTCATAATTCGGATTATCCCTTCCCTCTGTCATTGCTTTCTGTGTTTTATCCACCAATCAATGCGCCAAGATCCAGGAGTGAATCTAATTTCGTAAAAGCACTTATGTTAAATGAGAAATGTTCTCAGTTACTAAAATTCCTCAGGCACTCGATGAAATGATGTGAAAACAAAACACTGATCAATAACAAAAAAAAAGCACAACAAATTAAAAGATACCCTGAGACTTCACAGCCATATTTCCACTTCGTAGTTCTTCGCTCGTTTTTCGCCCATTTTCACTACACCCCGTAAATAACAGGACATTTTAACGCACTCGCCACTACCAAAAGGACAGAACAAAACAAAGTCCCCGTCTAAAAACAAGCCACTGGGCAACCACATCTGTGTCGGAGACAGGAAATGCCGGGAACAGCGGCGGTTACCCGCTGAATCACAGAACACCACTGGACAGGAGGGACCGGCTCAGCCTCACAGATGCACGGAGAGGCGCACGGATCGCGCGCCTGAGGGACGGGACGCTAGGGACCGCACCATGGACCAACCCAACTGTCTCCCAGTTAAAACAGACGGACTGTGCGTCTGTCCGCCACTATGACACGATAATCCAGTGTTTGAGATCACAGACTAGACGCAGCCAGAGGAGACCAAGACGGGAGAGAGGACATGTGACGGATAGTGGGACGCAGGAATCTTATCACAAACTACTAACAAAAATTCGGTCAGGCCTGCAGAAGGCCACCTCAAGCGGTTAAGGAGAGCATAGTAAAAATGGACAACTAAAAAGCGGAAGCATGTGACAGAGGCAGAACTGAGACTACTAAACAATTTAGGAAACCACTATTCACTAATTACTTAGGAGAAATAAAGACAGCATCTAGTACTAGATGTCTAAATACAACGCAGGACGATAAACGAGAAATGATAGACGACAGACGATAGACGAGAGACGTGGTCAGAGGAGGGCCAACCTCTAGGTGACGCAGAATTTCCAGTTGGCCTCGTAGAGGTCGCTGCGGATTTTGTCCGCGTCCAGCTCCCTGAAAAATACGGAGCGATATACGTCAGCGAGAAGGCGTCACAACCAGACTCGAGTGGCCGTATTCACAATCACGGGTTATGGGTAGGGGTATGAGTAACTGGTAACGGGTTATTTTTGTGGCCGTATTCACAATCGAAGTTTACCCCCACCCTTAAACCGTGATTGTGAATACGGCCACAGCTGGGTACACACATGACCTAATAACCAACAGATCATACGGAAAGGCACGCACCGGTCAGTCAGCTGGGATTTCACGAAATGACATTGATACTTATGGTGCGCTCATATTGCGTGTCAAGGCCAATAAAAATAAAAACGATAAGGCAAACATGTGCCTAATGGCACACAAGCTAATAGTATCTCGAACGACAAAAAATAGTCCATATTTACAGGCAAAGTATTGTGCCCTAGTTTACAAGACACCCCCTTCCTCTCCCCCCTCTCTCTCTCTATCTCTCTCCCTTCCTCCCTCCCTCCCCTTCTCACCTGTACTGCGGCTGCCAGCTCGTCACCACCTTGTCGTTCAGACTCCGCACGTCCGCCTCCATATAGTCGCGGAACTCGCGTTTGATCCGGTCGGCCAGTTTCGTCTGCTCCTTCTCTGCCAGGGCAAGGTCATTCTTCTCCCGAGACAGCATCTGGGCGAGGTCTCGGAAGTTGGCCTCGTAGAACTGATGCATGCGGTTCAGCTCGGCCGTGTAGCCGTCCTGACCGTAGAACTCTCGGATGGCGCGCTTCTCGAAGGCGCGGACGGAGCGCAGCCGGTGCCGCTGTATCTCCAGCATCTCCTCAAACACGGCCTTCATCAGCTGCCGGACACGGGGTAGAAGATGAGGGTTAAGGTGTGGGAACATATCAGTCATGCCCTCCAGCATTTCCTCAAACACGGCCTTCATCAGCTACAGAAGAGATCGAGCGTCAGTGAGGAGCGTCACAGCTTTCGGCAGCTGGTGGACACGGGGGAGAAGAAGAGGGTCAGTCAGGATCCAGACCGGATGTCAGGGCCTTCTGCAGCTGGATAGAGGGAGAGGAAGATGAGGGTGAAAAAACAACGAGTCGGTAGATCATCTTTACAGCAAAGGTTCGATGATTCATGGCGGCTATAAACGTCGCACCGCCCCATTTAACGTTCGTTTGGCACCTCTGGACTCATCGAAGAGAATAAACCCTTGTAACTAGCAACTGGGAAGGCACTTAGTGTCAATTAGTCTGTGAATAAGCGAGAAAGTAATGTAATGAATGAGGACAACGGCGAGCACCCACTGCGCGAAAGATAGTCCGAGTCATTGTCTGTTCATTCGTTCACCCGCTCTCTCTCAGAGTAGCCGGGTGGGAAGGCTCACTCACCAGCTCCTCCCGGCTCCTGTTGAGGGCCGAGCGCGACTCGAACTGCTGTTTGAACGAGTCGACGAACCGCTGAGCGCGCAGACACGATATCTTGGCGTCCCGCGGCGCGTTCCTGATACAGAAGGACGGGAAGGTAGTTAGAGACGGTGAGGGAGCGGTGCACGGAGGAATAAAAAAAAAAAACTGACAGATTTCGGGCAGAGGCTCAGTCTGGTCGGATGATACTAGCCAGGCGATAAGGGAAGGGACGACTTACGTAGTTCTAAGTGAGTCGTCCCTTCCCGTATCACTTCCCGTATCACTTCCCGTATACCTCTAGGTAAGAAGAACAAAGAGGATCAGGTATGAGCATTGAGCATGTGATCAGCCATATACGCTTCAACATGCTGACCAGGAACATGGTCCATCACCTTGCCAAAAAGTGTGATACAGGGACTTTATAATCGCTCGTCGCCTGTGATCGACGACCCACCTGCGTTTGATGGCCTGTAGCCGGGCGGTGCGGAGCCTCCGGAAGCGCTGGTCGTGCTCCCGCTGCTGCCGGATGATGTCCGTCAGCAGCGCCTGACGCTGCAGCACGTCCTGACGCTGTGGAAGGCAGGTAGATAACGGTCAGCATACGCTGCAGCAGCATGTCATGACGTCAAAGGAGGTAGGATATTCACTATTCAGTCAGCATACCCGGCAGCACGTCCTGACGCTGCCGAGGGCGGATAGCAGCCAACATTCGCTACAGGCTGCACGTCATTACGGTGTAAGAGGATACCAGTCAACATTCGCTGCAGCATGTTCTGACGCTGCCGAGGGAGATTTAGTGTCAGTAGGGGCCACAGACAGGAGGATTGCGGGGTGGCGTCTGCCCAGACGTCCACGTAAGCGGCTGCCGAGGGAAGAGGAATTTTAGTTCATTACACTGCATTTGCCGCGATAACGAGGGAGGTAAGGCGTACCAAACATGTGCTGCCAGGGTGACGAATGATGACGATGATACTATAGCTGAACTGGTAATGATATTACACTGACGGCGATAATCAGTGATTAATTAGCAGTCAATACACATGCTAATAATTGAGGCATTATCGATGTTTTAGGGCCTCTTGTTTTGAGTGGACATTGTTGTCCATAAATGTCTACTGGCAAGCGTTGATATTTTACGGCTGGTCTGTGTTTACATTGAGTTTGTTTTGTCGTGTCTGGTGTGCCAGCCTTTCCTTCAGTTCTCACTGTTTGTTTCTCTTCAGTTTGTACACCATGTACAAATTGAACATGATGTACAAACTGCCCTCATTTACCTTCACTTTGTAGTCTGGAGGGTCTTTGTATTTACCTTCAGTTTGTAGTGTGTATGTAGTCCCCATGACTCACCTTCAGTTTGTACCGCGTCTGGTCCCCGTGACTCACCTTCAGTTTGTACCGCGTCTGGTCCCCATGACTCACCTTGAGTTTGTAGTGACTGGTCCCCGTGACTCACCTTCAGTTTGTAGTGTCGGGTCTCTGTGGGCTCGACCAGGTGCATGATGTACCTCATCTGCTGGCGGTACTGGGTCAACAGCTTCCGCTTGGTCTCCTCCGAGACCCGCACGTACGGAAACTCGCGGCGCAGAAACTCAAACACGTCCGTCTCTGCCGGGCGAGAGAGAGGAAACAGAATGACAGGTGGATCAGACAGTGTAAAGGGCGACACAAGTAAAAAGCACACGAAACGGTGAAGATGGAACGAATTCGGGAGATAAGCGAACATAATGAACACGAATGACAGGAAGAGCAATATCTGGCAGGTAGGGATTGGACGCCATTCATTTTAGCTCTGTACTTTGTTACGCAGCGTAGAATGATCCCACACAGCTGCTCGCATTGGTGCAGAAAGTCGGACGCTCAGCTGTTCCGTAACCACATTCGAGGGCTTTCACCCAAACTCACTTATCCTAGACTTATAAACTTATCACTTATCAACCTGACGTCCAGTCAGCCCTCCCCCTCCTTACGCTATTCTTCCACTTGGAGGCATCAGGCAGGTCCCATCAGT